AATCGATATTTTAATTTCTAAAGGTCACCCATAATTATTTTAACTTTCAAAGTAAACCTATGTTTTCGAGCGACCTCTAAAAGTAAATATCAACGAACTAATCATTTTTTTTTATTGAATTTGATGAACAAAAGAATAGAAATAAGTCACAAAACACTTAAATTTTAAAAAATTAAAAAATTATAAATATTTGATACTCGGCGCGGTAGTAAATTTTGCCTCGAGAAATTTTTTAAGTGTCTCGTGATTTATTTCTATTCTTTTGTTCGTCAAATTCAATAAAAAAAACTTATTAGTTCGTTGATATTTATTTTTAGAGGTCTCTCGAAAACATATTAGGTACACTACTTTTAAAGTTAAAATAAGTGACCTTTAGAAATTAAAATATCATTTGAAATTTTCAGAATCAAGATTTTTTTTCAACCTAGAAAATGATAAAATAACGAGAAAAAAAATAAAAAAAGAAAATTCTATTTTTGACAATTATGGAAATTTTTAAAAATCTTGCGCTGATTTTTTGAGGGGGCTCTTAAAACATGATAAACTATCATATTTTCACGAGACGCAAAAAAAAATATTCGTTTTTTTCGGCCACCCTAATCAAAATATACGAGGGGTCAATTCTAAACAAGATAAATTTTTTATTTCTTTTACGTCTAGTGGTGTTGATATTGTGTACTTCACTCAAGCATGGCTTTGTGGTGATGTTTAAAGCGAATTGTTTCCCGATTTTTATACAGTTTATTGCGATGATAGAAGATTCGAAGCTTGTGCTGTTATAGTTTTTCCGATCTCAATTGAAGAACGAAGAGGTTGTCAGTATGTACCAGGTTCGGTCGCTGACGCAGCAACTCGGCATTGAAATGTTTGAAAAACTTGTTCCCATACATGTGTAAGATGTCTATGGGCATTTGTTGTTGTTATACAGGGTGTTCACAAATTTCATCCGATAACGTTTGACTGCATTTTCACGACGATAAATAAATACGATCTGCGAAAAAAAGTAAAATAAAAAATTTTTAGTTTTTGAGTTTCAGTCCTTCAGAATTGTCAAAAATAAAATTTATTTAATTAATAACTGATAATCCTTTTACCGATCGCTTTAAAATTTGGCACATTTATTTGGACTATTATGACGTATTATTTCTTAAAGCTTTAATCCAATCGATATACTGATTGATAGTTTTTACATTTTACGTGAACTTTGAAGCTATACTTAAACATGTAACTGTCACTAGCTTACTGTACTTCCAACCTTTTTAACTATTGGCTACTCCCTTTCTCATATAAATGTTATATTTCAAATTGCTATCCCTGACATTGACAGTTACATGTTTGAAGCGCATTTATCGAGGTCGTTATAGTCTACTTATCTCTACTATAAATCTGAGCTTACCTCTTCTGTTTTTTTTTATCGATTCATCTTTATCTCGCCCTTATCAGATTTTTCGTCAGCCAAAGCTTCGAATTATACAAAGTTAAGTACAATATTTTTTTACGAAACTTTCCCTTTGTAATGTACAGGGTGATTTATCTAAGACTAGCTGAAACCTGCCTCACTTTGCAGTGGCTATTTTATTTTAAATAAAAAAAAAAAACAACAAAAATTCTATTTTATTTTTATTTCATTCATTTATTGATAGTAAAGTATTATTTTTATTTATGTAAAGACATTATTTTAATGCTTTTGGATACACAATATGCATTATTCTTCCACCTGGTGTATATACAATATTGTAAATCGATTGAAATTCTGTAATAATGCACAGCGCCAACGCCACATATTGAAAACTGATCAAACTACTTTCTAAACCTTTCCAGTAATGTATCGAACATAACCCATAAATTTGAGCTCAATCGACTGAGTGGCATTCGAGTCTATAAGTGACACACATACTAATATTGACATATATATATATATAAATTTATATGAAGAACTGATATTATTTTGACCTCATCTATTTGTACTCGACTTTTTTGTATCAAGTACCGGGACACCATATATATACAGTGCTATTTTTTAAAACCTGACAGCCCAACTTTTTTATTTGAAGTGATAGACTAGTACTTCCAAATGCAAAGTTGGAGGAAATAACTTGATTAAAAAAAATTTACAAATAATTCTTTCCGGTGTTGCCAGATTTCTGCAGTAGCCACTAAAACGATATTTTTTTAAATGGTAACACCGTATTTTTTAAACATAATTTAACAAACCTTCAAATTCTAAATAGAAAATGTTATGTCACGTTTCTTTATTGGAGTCTGGTTCCAACAATATGATGCCCCTCCACATTTTCGCCTCGATGTAAGAAATTACATTAATGAAGTTTTCCCAATTTCGTTTTCCTGGTCGTGTAATTTCGCGTTTTGGTGATCAGAATGGCCCCCAGATCATGCGATTTAACGCCGTAGGACTTTTTCTTTGGACTTTTTGAAATCTAAGGCTTATGCCAACAAACCCACGACCACCCACGTCTTGAAGGAGGAAATTAGGCTCTGTATCAACGAAATTTAGTCGCATTTGTGCAAAATGGTCATACAAAAATTTCGACAAAAGAGTGCGTATGTAGTCTTTCCGAAGTCAGTTGAATATGTATAAAAAACCGAACAATCAAATTAAATGAGTTTCATAGGTGTCCCTAAAAAAGTTTTCTGCTAAAGGTAAAAAATTATAATACAAATTTGTATATAATGCGTAGAAAATTTCTATTATATGTTCATTTGGCCAACAACATATTTTAATTATTTATGTCCTCAAACAATTTTATTATATTGATGGTAAATTTCGTTTTGTTCCGTTTCAAAAGGTCTCCAAAATGCCATGTAATAATATTAGTAAACAAAATATCCCTCTTATTTCTCCCTTTCGCAATTGTAATATGATTGATTAATAGAAGGTGCCTATAATAAATTAAAATTAGCTGGATCACACCAAATTCCGCATTGCTGCACTGCACTGCCAGGCGACTTGTCGACAACTGAAATTTATGACGCAGTCGATCAGAGCAAAAGTGCGTATTGCTGTTTGCCCGCACGCTCATTCTTCGACTGAGCGTATACATTTCTACCACCTGTACGTTTAGTTCGACCAGACCTGTAAGTATGTGGGTACGGCTAAATAAATATGGGATCAAGTTTTTCAAATATTTCAATACAGAGTATCAACCTCTTGGTTCTTCAATTGAGATAGGAAAGACTATACCAGCAAGGTCGTGGATACCATTTACCCGATATACATAAAATGAATCAATAAAAAATTTACAATTTTAATTAAAAACCTGTGTCTTCTATCAAAATTACTTCTTGCGTGAATTTGAGAAAGCATTTATTTCATATGCGGTTTGGATTAAAATTCAGTAAAATAATATGTTGTTCTTGATTTTCATTATTTGTCTTAAAAAGGGGCCCTTCGCCTGAATTCAGCGAAACTGCTAAACGTAACCATTTCTACACTTTGTTTAGTTACTCATATTTCATTTGAAACAATTTATTAAAGCATATACATCTTATTATCATCCCATTTATATTCTCTAACAGTAGCTCAAATAATTAAAATCAGAGAAACACCTTGTGCCATCTAGCGACGTCACGAATATTTTATAAGGTTGTATCAAAGTTTTCTGTTAGAGGTTCGAAAATAGACTGCGATATATGTAAAGAATTTGTCTCTGTTTAACTATGCTATTGGACACAGATGCGCTACGTATTAATTGCCACAGGCAATCAATAGACGAAGAATTCTCGAAAATGATTAGGAAGAAATCTGCGAATTTCTGTTCATTGGTGTTATGCAACAAGTTATACATTCTGTTTAATTTTAATTCCTGGTTGTTAATTTTTATACACTCGTAAGATCTTTAACTGTGGCTAAACAACTCAAAAGTATAAGGAAATGCTATGTGTGTGTATGTATAAAACGTCATATCAAATTTAAGTTAGGCAACCAGATACACAAGTACTTGGTTGATTGATTCCTGCATTTTATAAATTTGTTTTAATTTAAGGATTTGTAATGATATTTAACTTAACGTTCATCTAAATATTGTTAAACTTATTTATAGGGATCATATAGTTTTAATCGAAGTATTTGTTACTATCAATCATCAGATTATACTAGCAATTTTACATTTCGTTGGATTAAGTGACAATGCCATTGAATTTTTTAATAATTATTTCAATAATAGAAAACAAAGTGTTAGAATTAATGATAGAGAATCTGTTCCCCTTAAAATTCCTTCAGGTGTTCCCCAGGGATCGATTTTAAGCCCTCTTCTTTACATTTTAATACCTCTGATTTTGTTAATAAAATAAAAAAACAAACATTAATTTTTATGCTGATGACACATGTTCGTTGTTACGTTACGGAGCATTGCCACAAGTGGATACCCGCCTTTAAATTAATTTATAATAGTAGACAGTTTGTATCTAAGAAAGTTAAATCAGTTGGTTTTATCTCAATTTAATTTTGGGGATTCAGTTTATGGTCCATGTATCGATGCTGTTGACTCCAGCCGAATTCAGTTAGCGCAGATCTCTTGCTTGAGATTAATTTTTCGAATCAGAAGACGTCAACACATTTCTTATAAATTATCTGAAGTTGGTTGGTTGAATATAATCGTCGTTTTTTGCACAGTGCTTGTCTATTTCACAGAATTATTTTATATAGGGCGCCACTTATCTTTACAATAAAATATCGTTTAGAACTGATGTTCATAATGTTAATATTCGGTTTAAGGGTACTCTGATTCCTCCTCTACACCATACCCAGTTTTTTAAACTGTCGTTTTCTTACCATACCGCTTATAACTGTAGAATTGTTAATTATAGACTTAAGTTTGTTAAACTTTATATATTTACACTATTTTATAAAATAAGATACTTGTGATGAAAAAAATAAATTAGTAGTCAGTTTAAACGTTTTCTTTATTTAATTAATTTTCGGATAATCGGGGTATCCTTACTTTTTCTCTTTGTGATAGTTTTAAGTAAAATGAAAGGCGTTCAAATTTTGTTCCTATATTTTTAGTGATAAATCCAAATATTGGATAATTGCCAACATAAATATTAACATGAGAAAATAACTCAAATCTCGGTAACACTCAATTGAATGTAGGTATTAAAGTTTTCCATCAGTTTTTCGCCCTTTTCTTGATGTAATAACTCCCGCACATGGACATCTTCTTCTTGTGGACCTTCCGATGCTTTGAGAGATGGTCCGACCTTGCGAAAGCTTTCTCACAAAGTTCGCACTTGTACGGTTTGATACCGGAATGGGACCTTTTATGCCTCGCCAGCTCGTCGGACCTCGAAAATCTCCACGTACAGTTTTGCCAGTTGCAAACAAAAGGTTTCTCACCGGAATGTCGCCTTAAGTGGGCCTTAAGGTGCGACGATTTAGCGTAGACCTTCTCGCAGTTAGATATGGGGCAGGTGAAGTATTTCTCGTCTTCTTTCTTCTGCGTGTAGTCGTGGTTCAGGAAGACTTCGTTTTTCCTGTAACTCGCCGAAGATTTACAGTCGACCTTTACTGAGTTTCCTTTAGCGACCTTACAGGTGGTTTCGTAAAGCAGGTTCCTTCTCCTGCGGTTTTTCTCTTCGTTCATGTGAGGGAACATCTGGATTATCTCCATGGGTTCTCCTGTGACTTCTAATTGCTGGTTGTTGTTATCCACCAGGAGATTACAATCGAAGGTGGTTGTGAATATGTCATTTACCTTTACGGACAGCTCTGGATCCAATTCGTTACTGGAGTCGTTTAAAATGTAATCCAGATCGTTACTTATAAAGTTGTCCACGTTCTCGTGTGGGTATAAATTCAGATCTACGCCTAATACTGAGATGCTGTCGTCAAAATTCGAGTTGGAATCCAACAAATTGAGTTCGTCTATCCCGAACAAGGTGTTATCAAGGGTGTCCTTTTGGGTAGCGTCCTCGTTGTTGAGTAGACCCTTTATTATGCTGTCCAAAAATTTGTCGTCGCCGTTTAGAGCCAAATCTTTTTTGAGGTGTTCGTTGTCAGGGTTGCTTAAGTTGTAGTTGGAACAATTCGACGACTCTATGTTGTCGAATGGCAGGAAATCCAACAGGGAACGCATTTCCGACGTGTTTTCTAAAATATTGGCTTCTAGTGCGAATTCAACCATGTCATCAGGTGGCATTCTTGCATGTCTGGAAACACAATTAGAAATATTTAGCGAATGTTAAAAATTAATAGTAATTTATTTACTTGATTCGTTTTGATTGTTCAGGAAAACATGTTTAGTTTCGAATGAATTTACATTGAACTGTACAGTTTCGTAGCGATGTATGTTTTCGAATAATGACCTCAAAATGATTTCCAATTCGATAACGAGCAAAACAAAGTTGCGGAAGTATTACTGGTTGCAGAAAATTGTCCCTAAAAGGGTTGTTCTTATTCGTGGCTTCACAAAATATCTAGTAAAAACTCTATTTACTTTTTTTTTCAGATGTGTTTAAAGAAAAGTATATTTCAACGGAAATACCGCCGTTTTCATTTTAGAAACTTATAAATTTAATTAAATTGTAGCTAAATTCAGTTTGGTTGAAGGAATTTCGGACTTTTATTTGCGTAAATAAAAAAAATACATATAAAAATACACTACACTAATAATATGACGAAAAACTTACAACCTCTTCCTGTAGTCGTTAATAAACCTCAAAATTTTCAAAAGGTGAATCATATTCATATCCAACAACGCGTTTATACCACATCACTACATTTTCAGTCACCATTCACACAAAATAAAGACTTTTCGTTTGAAACTTTATTCGCTACAGTTTTGAATTCGACGTACATGCGAGCAAGTTGGGATACATTTCATACATAAAAGATTTCTACCATAGATATAATCATTTGTGAATCAACAGGAAATCCTAATCACATATCTCTTGTCGTATATCATATGTATATTATATCGGATAAAATGAAAAGCCTTTCTAGAACTTATACGATGCAAGTCGAGAAATAGAGCAGCATAATATCTATTTTGTACGTAAAAATTTCAAAATGCGCGTACAGATGATGATGTACATTAAAAAGGTAACAGATAAGGTATTTTTAATCATTTTTCCTGATCTTAAAATTTCAAAATGCATTTAGTTCAACTTTTGTAAGCAATGCGGTGTTTATTTTTCATTAAAAAATCAATAGACTGACATAAATGTTATTATTACAGAAAATCTTCGTATAACACAAATTTATTCTTTATTTACTTGAATTTTTATGTTTGAGAAAGTTCCATTAAATGCATTATTACTTCCTCATATTTCAATGTTTAATTATTTGAGATATACAAATAAAAAACTATTTTATAACACTATTATTAAATACTTTAAAAATTGATTTGTTAAATATTATTTTATGTACAGGGTGGGCCACCAGTAACGCCTCGATCGCTAGGGACCAAACGGCAAATGTTATAGAAAAAAAAACAAACAAAAATAAAATATTTTGAAATATACAGGATGTCCAGGAAAAGCGTACCAAATCAAAGTTATATATATTTAAGGGTGATACCCTGTATTTTACTGCATTTTTGAGAGCAACATAAAGAAATAGGTGAACTTTATTAAAGGTTCTGCATACCTAGGACTTATTGTTTGTGAGATATTTCAATTTTAGTGAAAATGCAGACTTAGCGTAGAAAATAATTTTAAGGAAGCAGCTTTTGGGTGTATTTTAAATCCTTGAAGTTATAAATTATTATACCTGTCGTCACTTAGTATTGTACAGGGTGTTCAAAGAACTGCTGAATACTTCTCTCGACTTTAAACAGCAATAACTTGGTTATTTTAAATGGGACACCCAGTATATTTTTAGTTTGGAAGTTAGGAAATTTAACAGTCTTTAATTTCTGTATAGATTCCCTATACCTATCTCTAACGGTATTGGAGATATTTGTGCCGTTTCTTGACGACGTCTCTTTAAATATAAGGAGAAAAATGAGGATGCTAGTTGCATCCTCATTTTTCTGGCACACCTTCAGATTTTTCATATTCAGTGAGAAATTATTTGTCAGTGGCCACCTAGGTATCCAGACCTCACCGTAATGGACTTCTTTGTTTCAAGCTATATAAAAAATCTTGCGATAATGTGAAGGGAAGGATTAGATATGCACTTGCCACAATCACCCTAGATATTCTGAGGAATGTGAGAATATCAATTAAATTTTTTCTTTGTTTGTTCTAAAAGTAAAATTTCCTTTAATAAATATTTTTCTTGTTGTTCCTAATCAATTTAATTCAGTTACGTACAACAAATACCGGGTGATTCAGTTTGATATTCGCGGCCCCGTATCTATTTTATTTTAACAAATAGCTATAACAAACCCTATATATTTTTAAATCGCTGCTTAAAATCTATCAAATGACATTATTAGATAGTCTCCATGGTAACAATTGTCAAAATTGCTATAGTCAACTGTTTTTGTTCAAATGGCACACTATATATTTTTTCATCAATTCTGGAAGATCTTTTTTTTTCTGCGTTCAGCTATATAAGACAGTCTATAGTTTCATTAAAAATATTGCTAGAAAAACAGCAAAAATGATAACCCTTACTTTCAGTAGCTTTATTCTGAAAAATGATAGCCAGCTGCGGAAACAACTGAATTTTGACGTTTCTAAATAAGGATTTGTCAAAATAATTGACATTGTGTACCTACCTATTATATCTATAATTATAACATGAATACTTACAGTAACCAAGAAAAACTAGATATGATTTTAATTTATGGAGAGGGTCGAAAGAACGCTAAAGTAGCCAGTTATTTATACCAACAGGAATTTAGCAGCAGATGGAAGTTTTCAAAAGAAAAGATGAGTTCTTAAACCCAGAAGGGCAAGAGATGAAGAACATTCGATAAAGATGTTAAATGGCCTGCCAGGTCTCCGGATTTTACTCCTATAGATTTCTTTCTTTGGCCTTACCTAAATGATATTGACGACTTTGAAACAGAATAAGAGTAGAATGTCGGAGATTAAATGAAGAAACACTAGAATGTATTTCTAGAGAGGTAGCGATAAACAGGGCTATTCTATGTTTGGAAGCAAATGTAGGTCATTTTGAACATTTGAAATAAGTGTTGTTTTAAATTGTTATATTATTAACGTATTAAAAATAATAATATGTTACTTTAAAAACATAATAGCTTGTTTCCGCAGCTGGCTATCATTTTTCAAAATAAAGGTACGAAAAGTAGGGTTCATATTTTTTTGCTGTTTTTCTAGCAATATTTCTAATGAAACTATAGACTTCCTGAATTGATAAAAAAATACATAGTGTGCCATTTGAACAAAAACACTTGACTATAGCAATTTTGACATATGTTACCATGGAGACGATCTAATAATGTCATTTAATAGAGTTTGAGCGGCGATTTAAAAATATATAGGGTTTATTACACCTATTTGTTAAAAAAAATACCTAACTCCCAAACTAAAAATTAGTTATTGCTGTTTAAAGTTGAGAAAAGTATCCAGCAGTGTTTTGAACACCCTGTATAATACTAAGTGACAACAAATATAATAATTTATAACTTCGAGGATTTAAAATACTCTTTCCAAAGATGCTTCCTTAAAATAATTTTGTTATTGCTAATATTTTTCTTCGCTAAGCCTGCATTTTCACTAAAATTGAAATATCTCATATACAATAAGTCCTAGTTATGCAGAACCTTTAATAAAGTTCACCTATTTTTTTACGGTGCTTTCAAAATTGCATTAAAATACAGGGTGTTCCATTTAAAAATACATAACTTTGATATGGTACGCTTTACCTGGATATATTTGAAAATATTTTTAAAATGTAGCCGTAATTAACCTACACATACCCACCTAAACAGGTTTCTATAACATTTGCCGTTTGGTCCCTAGCCACCGAGGCGTTACTGGTGGCCCACCCTGTATAAATTTCGTTTGTTACATTTACTATATTCAAAATTGAAAATAAAATCTGCTTAAAAATATGTTATTTGTTACAGTTCATCAAATCAATTATTTATCATTTTGTCAATTAGGAACTCGGTTAATTGTAATATTAAAAAATATACTCACCACAAAAAATTCCAGTCGACACTATTTTAAACTCGACGCACTCCACTATAAACAATTACAAACAGCAGGTTAGATTGAAAATACCAATCGACGATTTAACTCTCTATTTTGGATATAATTGACTCTGTTTGTAAGCGTGTATCCATTTATAACATGTGGCTGTTATACACTAGGGACTTTTTAAAAATTGTTCAAATTAACGTCAGTGTCAACTATTGCCTAGCACAAGTTTGTCTTTGATATAACATTTCATCCCCAGAGATCGTGCATGTTTTGTTAGGGAAGATTTTTATAGTCGGCGGTACCAAACAGTTTCGCGTATTAATTAAATAAATAAATGGGCAATTCCTAAAATGTTGTTTAAAAACTGTTTTATTAATGATAAAAAATAAATCTTGATAGGTAGTAAAAGTATTTTTTTTAATTAAAACTGATTTGAGGTGTAAATATTTAAATTAAATTCCTTATTATAGAGATGAACTAACATTGTTAAAAAATTCTCTTGTATTTTTGTTTGTATAGTGTGTACCTGCGTGCAAGTGGTAGAAATGTATACGCCCAGTTGAAAAATGCACGCGCGGGAAAACGGCGTATAACACAGCTGTACTGGGCGACTGGGCAATAAATCTTAGTTGTTGACAAGTGTTTGACAAATTGCCTAACAGTGCAGTGCAGCTATGCGGAATTTGATGTGATTCAGGTCATTTTAACTTATTATAGGCACCTTCTATTGATCATTCATATTACAATTGCGAAAGGGAGAAATAAGAGGGATATTTTGTTTATTATTATTACCACATGGCATTTTGGAGAACTTTTGTAACGGAACAAAACGAAACGAAATTATATACAAGTTATATAATTTTTTACCTTTAGCATAAATCTTTTTAGCGACGCCTATGAAACTCATTAAATTTTATTGCTAGGCGTTTTTATACATGTTCAATTAACTTCGAAAAGATTATACATAAGGGGCGACCTTTTTTAATTTTTTGGTATTATTTTGTATCCCTTTAAAATTTTTTCAAATTTATATTTCAACCCCTCCAGGGAAAATTTTTGTAGGGATTTGTCATGTTATTTTAACGTTCCCTGTATAAATTCGAGAGATTGCCCACATATTCTGGGACACCCTGTATAAATTATTAACTAAATATTCCGATTTTTTTCAATATTAAAAAGTTTGTTTTGCTTAATGCCATAATACTTGTCATATTTTTGACCGTTTGTATTTAGTAAAAACATTATACAGGGTCGGAAAGTCCCCATGGTTCATCGGCCGTTAAGTGAGAGCGATAGAAATCCGTGCGATAGAGAAGGATGGCTATAATGAAGGCGTCTCATAGTCACCGTCCGTTTCGCCCTTCCACAAATAAGATCCACTTCCACTTGTAATTCAGCAACCGATGGTCATCTTTGTTTTCGTCGTTTGGCTTTTCTTTGATAGATGTCACTACTTATACAATTTCGACTTCGGTATTCCGATATGTTGATATGTACAATCCGTTAACAGAGGGCAGCACAACGCGTAACAAAGAAAACTTTTTCTAGTGACCTTGTGACCTTGACCTTGATACCCCTACTGAGAAGTTATTCAAATGGAGTATAGTGCTCAGCATTTAAAGTTCATTTAGTTGTTATTTAAGTATACATTTTAAAATTACTTAAAAATCCCAAGAAATAAAATTCCCTATGTCCCTAATTCCAAAAAAATCTGTAGATCTGGCATCACTCTTTCTAGGGCTGCGCCTCACCTTAGACAAATTGTGCTGCCCTCTGTTAACGGATTGCATTAACATATCGGAATACGAAGTATTGTTTAAGTAGTGACATCTATTACAGAAAAGGCAAACGACGAAAACAAAGATGACCACCGGTCGCTGAATTACAAGTGGAAGTGGATCTTATTTGTGGAAGGGCGAAACTGGCGGTGACTATGAGACGCCTTCATTATAGCCATCCTTCTCTATCGCATGGATTTATATGACTTACTTTATCGCTCTCACGTAACGGACGATGAACCATGGGGACTTTCCGACCCTGTATATAGATAAGTTAACGACGAAATAGAAAAAATCCATTTCTAGAACACTTGAAGGATTTTATTTTCTGTTTTATTTCATTAAAAATTCCCGCCACTTCGAAGGATTTGACTCCTGTGAATTCTCGAAGAAAAGAAACGCCACTCTTTCAAAAAGCACTTCTTTTTTTTTATAAAACTACACCTCAAAATGAACAAAATATCCAAATGTTCATAACTTCTTGAGGATTTGAAATAAAAATTTAAAAAAATTCGTGGAAGCAGCCCTAAATGGGTACTAAATATGACCGAAAAAATCAAGACAATTAAAAATGGTCGGGTCACGACCTCAGTGACGCCCCAAAAATAAATATTTCTGGATAATTTGGCTGTCTCTGTATGCATTTTTGGCATCTGTGCGTGTGGTGTTATTTATTCGATTATAGTATTTTAATATGGACAGTTAAAATATTGTTATTCCGAAAAACATTTTTGGAACCACTCGAGTATTATTGTAGGCTCAGGAAATGATGATAAATTGTGACAAAACGTTGATAATGGTCCGTTCCAGACATTAGACGAGTTTAGCGATAATGTTGTACCTAATTAGTAATTTAATATGGATCTACAACGGTGTTATTGCGTAGATAATTATTATTATTTTGATTCATAAATTCTAAATAAACGACGAGATTACAGTTCGTATGAAAAAAAAATTCAAGCGAATACTTGTTCTCTGTATCCGTTTACTAGATATTTAATTTTTATCGTTTCTTGCACTTGAATTTGTTACAGTTAAAATATCAACATCGCACGGAAATTTTTCGTCGAGTACGAGGTTAGATGTCAATTTTTTGCCTTCTTATCACAAAAATGTAAATATACATAGCTTCTGCGCTAAAAAAATTCATGGGTAATTCGTATATACGCAAATGGATATCTTGATGTCATAATTCGAAACAAATTTCTTCACTTGTATAAACTCAATAATAAAATTTTACTTAGGTCAAGATTGTGGGATATGAGCGTCAAGGGAATATTTGTTTGCGTATATGTGTATAAATACAGTCCTAATTCTAGAGAATGTTTTTTTGTATGTTTGTGTAAAAATCATTGGTAAAATATTCTTATTTTTGCCATTTTCTCTCTGAATTACCATGACGAATTAAGCGATAATTAAAAAAAAATATAAACACTAATTAAAAATAAACGTATATACAGGATGTCCCAGTGTCAGCTTACAAAAATTTACCAGGGGGGTAGACCAGACCAATATAAGGTTAAAATATTTTCCTGCGATGTATGCTCACTGAGTTAAAGGGTGTTGTTTAGAAAAAAATAATAACTTTCCGCAATAACTCAAAAACCCTTTCACCCTGTAACATAGTGAGAGTGCATCGCCGAAAAATATTTTATAAGAATTTTAATCTTATTTTGTTCTGGTCTACCCCCTGATAAATTTTTGTACGCTGACACTGGGACACCCTGTATATGTATATATATATATCATATATAAATATCCCTAAATGTAAATATTCTTGTAAATTATTACAAATATAATATTAAAATGTTGGCAATTCACAACACATCCCTATATTTAATAACATCACGTATTTGCTTTAAATTTGTACAATGTTTATCATATAAAGAAACAGTCTTGTTTAAGTTGTCACATATTATGTATATACAGCAGAGAACGTAAAAGTGTGTTTGTTTAGTCACTGTATACCTACAGGGTGTATTATAATAAGGTGTAAAAATTTAACTGAAACTTCTCGCCAAAACAAAATAATTGGTGATATACACGGTGTATCTAAATAACACCGAAAAAATTCAAGGGGCGATTGTCCGATTAAAATTAATAGGGGTCTTTGGTATAAAATTTTTTGAAAAAACCCTCCCCTGAAAAGTTACGCCCCTCCTAAAATTACAAAAAAAAAATTGTTTTTCTTTTTTATCTTCCACGTACATCAAGCTAAAGAAACCAAACTTGGTGAACATTATCTGTCAATAAAACTACACTTTTTGAATTTTTTTCAACCCTGAACTATTTTTGTAAGGGGTTGAAATAATCAACCCCTATGACATTTTTTCTTATAATTTTTTTTTC